CAAAGAAAAGTTAGCGGCCGATAAATTGGCAGACAGATCGAGTACGTTGTTGTGCACGGTCCCGCCGCTGCTTAGATCTAATGGGATCTCGTATTTCGAATTATTCGGTTCTAAAATGGCGCTCGACGCGGCGAAACCGGAAGGTTTTGCGACCCTCAGCGGCGCCAATGGGGGCGGACCTTTCTTTTTCGGAGGGGTGTTGACCGGTAAGGGTGCAGGGTGTTCCTCCTTTGTCTTCGACATCGTTTTCAACGTGTCGCGCATCTGTTTCTCGGCCAACAAACTTCTTACTCGATTCGCTTTGCTCTCGCGTAATTGTTTCTCCAGCTTCTCTCTATCCAAAGTATCCATCTTTTCCCCGTTATTTTGAACGCGTTGCCTCGCTTTATCGCGGAAGTTGTCGCCAGCTTCGTTCACGGCTACCAGACCCAATCGCCGGAGAATTTCCTCGTCTTTCTTCGGACGTTCCGTTTCGATCTGTTCCGTTCTTTTCAATACCTCCGGTTCAGTACCTTCTTCCTTCTTAGGCGGTGGTGGTTTGCAAGTCGAGGATCCGTTCCTTTGATCTACCCTTTCCCCTGCTGCAGACGCATCCTCTCCTTGGGTAGTTATATTTTGTGCGATTCGAACAACCTCATCAGGTATACTATCTATTATTTCTTCTATAGTCTCTTCCGCCTCTCCGATGTTCTCCTTCGTACTCACGCCTTCCTCTCGTGCCAACGTACCTGACGATCGTTGTTGATTCATCGTCGTAGTTTTGATCTTTTCTCGTCTGACGGCCCTCATTTGTAATAATTTCTCCTTTGCCTGACCACTTCCGCTGCTCGACGTGATCCTCGGCGGACACGGGGTTAATCGAACCTTCAGTTTCAATAAATCCTCCCGCGGCGTGGTGGTGATCTCGGCGATCACTCGTTTGTTTCGTCGTTTCCTGTGCTTACGATGTTCCAGCTTCGCCAATTCTTTCGACTTGGAACTTTCCGGCGCGTGATTCGCCTGTATCGATACAAGATTAGGTGTTCTCATGACAGGAGTTACTTTGCATCGGGGTTTCTTTGCTTTCGGCTCCTTGTCACGTTCCAAATTGGTCTTCAAAGATGATTGAGACGGTTCGGTGTTATTTTCTAAAATTTTATGACTTTCGTCCTCGCACTCTTGGACAGGCTTGGGACTCGGTGGCGGTGTCGGTGGCCGTTGAATATTTTCCATTGTCGAGGTATCCTTGGTTGTCTCGTCGTTGAAGGAGTTCTCACTTGAAACGGAGACAATATCCTCCTTACGTAACACGCGATAAAACAGCTTCATAGGCGCTTCCTGTAACGACAAAAGTTATCGCTTTCCCTATTGTATCTAACGTCATGAGTTTATGTTCCAGGTATGACCGATGTAACAGGAAATGATAAAAGACTATCGCGAAATAAATGATCGGTCGTTATTAGTTAAGTTAAAATAATCGATACAAAAGGAAAGCAAATATCATAGAAATGAAAGAATAATATCATAAAGATGATGAGAGAGAGAGAGAAAAAAAAAAACTCACTCTCTTCCAACCAAATATGCAGGCGAGATCGAGCAGAGTCCAAGATTGATCCAACACCATCGTCTTCGTGCCATTCCGTCGATTTTCGTTGCTCTTCTCGCACAGCATCTCAATCTTATTGACATTCGTCCCGTGAGAATTCGCTTCCTCCCATCCCCTCTTCAGCATAAGCAATCGAACCAAGTGTCGAACAGTCACTCCTGCCGGACACTTAAGGTATCGAGTATTTCTAACCTGAATCGTGTCTTCCTGTTTAGTTTGATCGGCGTTCGTTCGATGTCGTGACCCGGCACGGTTTTCCGGTTCGTGAACGGCCGCCTCTCCTTCCGGTTCGTCGAGCTCGCATAAACTTAGGCTGACGAAATCGTCCAAGGTTAAGTTTAGGGCGCCCAAGGGTAAGGCCAAAGGTGGGCATTGTGGATTGACCAGCCGGAAATGACGCCTTCGTTCAAGCTCCGACCGGAAGAGGCCGGGTACCATAAGATATACGAGTCGTTGCAGCTTTACGTCCGGCAAGAGTGGCGGAGACGTTGCGACATTGCATACGGGACACGCTCTGGCACCGCTGCTCAACCGTCTCACTATACAACCTCTGCAAACTGAATATCGGTTCGACTTGTATTATTAATTTCATTACTTACAATGCAAACATTTTTTCGTATCGCGTTAATTATTGTCGCGAATCGTTTTATCAAAAATCGTTGTCATCTCTCAAAATTCTCATTAGAGGTTAGAGGTGTTATATTAAAAACTCATGAAACGAGACGGTTAGTCACCCTTCTCGAATTTAGCACCCTGCCAGAAGGGCAGACGAACGGATGGATTATTTCACGCACGCGAAGTAGATACAGCCGTTCGAGGTACGGCGCAACACGCGTTTATATTCGTTGTAACGGACGATATTATATGTAGATAACTTTGATTTGTTTGAACTTTTTTTACCATTGCAAATTAATGAATAATAAAACGATGACATGCGAATCGAATCCGTGAAAATTGTTCGATCGCCTATAACGAGACGAGAATCTCTACTGATCGAAAGAAATACTAACAAGAATGCAGACATTCCACGAGAGTCGTTGCATCTATGAGGTAGCCTCTGCACAGAGGACATACGATATGTTCGTTCAAGTCTTTAACCAGCGGCTTCTCCCTCTCCTTTGCCTCCATGTCGCTACTCGGTTCTGAAACAGCTGTGTGCCATCCGATTGTTAATCCACGAGACCAAAGAGCAACGATTAAATACTTTTTTAATTAACTACGCAACATGTTTTCGTCCGTGCGTCGGTGTCGTAGAAAATTCTAACCTAACTTTTCCGTTTCTCCCAGTAATCTCTTCTAAAATTTATACGTATCGTTATGATTTATCCAGCGCGACAGCGAACGAGTCAGCGATCGGCGATCTTTGGCTTATCTAAAATTAAATCGCGTATCGTACGCATTAATACCGGGAACAGCGATATCGATGTGCATTCTAATAATGGTTGGAGGATTCCGAAATGCAGGTAGTCGCGCGCACGGAGGGGGGAATGGGAGGGAACACACGCACGTAATCACATTAGGATACATTGGAAGCGGCGATTTCCATTTACGCGAGACTCGTACATGCCGTCGATATATTTAGAATAATGAAATATCTCGTGAAATCTAAGAGGGGAGAAACGAGTTACGCCGTGCCTTTAAGGTCTATCTCTTAAAGGGGATGCTTTCTCTTCTCCTCTCTTCTCTCTTTCTTTCTCTCTCTCTCTTTTTTTCTACTTATCTCTTGACCAATATTCGATAATATTTTCGATCATATAAATGTCTCTATTGACGAGCATAATATGAATATTTAAATAGTATTAGCGCGAACAAATCTGATTTCGCGCGCTGTATAGCAAGTTGCTTTTCGCGTTAAACGATGATGGAAAAAATCGCTTCCTGCGGTAATTATTCGAAATAGGAAGGTCCTCACCATCTTGATAGTTTTTGGAAATGTTGCAGAAATTAATATTTTGAACATATTACCGCTGTTCAGACATAATTTCGAGATTATTTGTAAAAAAAGATTGCTGCTATTATATAGAATCTCGTAGATATATGTTCGTGATTGCATGTGCATAAACTGATTCTTTGTCAATAAATACATTAAGAGATAGATATCAAGAATTATGTTAATATTCATTGTAATTTCGATCGCTCGAGATTGTTTTGTATTTCATTTTTGAATGATTAATAATTTTTCATTTTAAATCCTACCATCATCCATGAGCAAATATTGTTTAGACTAGTTCATCCGCTGTAATTGCCGCCATGTGTTTAACAGAATACGTAGTAGTGTTTATGCAAAAAAGAAAAAGCAAAGGAAAAAATTGTTTAAAATATTGATTTTTGCAACATATTCAAAAATCATCAAAATCGGTTCCCTCCTATTTCCTTAATAATTTCTCTTCTTGCTACCCTTCTTTGGACCAACGTTATCCTGGCGAGGACATTAAGGAAAACTTTCTTGATCGAGGAATGGGGATAGAATCGCGCACTTCATGTGTGCGATGAGCAACGAGAAGATCTCGCGTGAAAGGTACTTGACAGTGAAACCAACCAGTCACGCGACCACGTCGGCCTGGAAAAACTAGGTTTTTAGAGCTCGCGCGCACAGATCTCCCGCGCGATAATAACAGAGGCCAAGTGTCACTGCGCATGGCTAACGAACTCGAAGAAAGGAGGAAAGGCTCGACCACCTGCGTTGTCAACGACATGACTCAACTGCTCGCGTTTCAGAAACTTCGTTCTGCGATGATGATCCGTCCAAAAGCCGGATATACGACATAAACGAGTCAGTGGAGTCATCGAGAATGGCAGGAGCAATGAGGAATTGGAGGAAAGGGGAAGACAGAGTGTGCGAGAGGGGAAAACAAGAGAGAGAAAGGACGAGTAGAAGGGCTTCGGCGTTCGAACTTGAGAAAGGTCTGGCGCCAAGTCCCGTGAGACCACCTAATTCGTTCACCGCGTACGTCGCGGTTTTTTTAACGTTGACGTGACTCTCGAGAGAATCGTGATCCAAATTTTTGGACGTATAATCCATCGCTACGATTCTGATCACGTTTCACGACGCACGGCGAAGTTACGATTGCCAGGCGGAAGAAATGAATCGAATCGCGAGGCGGTAAAGGGAAAACTGAAGGAAGGAAAGAAAAAAAAAACGAAAAGAACGACAATCGAGAATCGCGAGGGTAAGCCATCGTCGATAGGAGCGTTGCCACGGTAACATCGGTGGTTCGAGCGTTTTTGCGCTGAACGTCGACGTACCGGTCCGAGAGAACCACGGTAGCTATTCCAGGCAACAGGATCTCGCGGGTAACATCGCGGCGGGCAGCGCTCCTATCTTCGGCAGAGGATCGCGAGTTATACACCGAGTGTAGTACCGTCTTGTCGGTCGATTCACGCGACTACCACACGTTTCAGGGCGGTATAGAGAGGCTTACGTGTAGGTGCTTACCAGCGTAGCGAGAGAGATGGTCGCCGTGGCCAGCGAGCTGCCGTCCCGGCTGGCAGCGGAACGTAACAGCGGA